TAACTTTTCATCATTACTGTTTCATTAGAAACACCGACGCAGCTCACACTAGTTTTTAGCTAGTTATCTCTTGCTGATGATTCTTCATTTTATTTTTTCAATTCTATTTATAATAACTACCTGATTGGTCCATTGACAGGATCAACTGACCATAATGGAACTTTAAACTTGTTCTTTAGAGTTACAGAGTTCCCTATAGGCTTGACAGGATCTAGAATATCAAGTATAAATGTTGCTTTAGTCAGGGAGCCAGCAAGCAATCCGGCATCATTGAAGGAGCAGGCGTAGATCAGTTGGTTAGTGCGCGGCCTTCAGAGCTAGAGGTCCATAGTTCGATCCTCAGGAACTCTACGTCTGTTTCGACTTCTCTCTGTTCTGTGTAGCTTTAATTAGCTTTAAATACCCGTAAAAACGAGCACTGATAGTAAGAGGGGGTAGAGAGTGCACCTTAGAGCGCATTAAACATGAGCCCTTGGCTCGGGAGAATTGGACAACCCCTCCCCGCGTCATCGAATCAAATAAATTACCTTTACCTTATCATTTATAATACTTACTGTCAATGTCTGTGTCTTTCTTACTTGATTCGCTCTTTTGACTCTTACCACATTCTGTTGACGCAGTTACACAGAATTCATAGCTTGTACCAGGCACAAGACTGTCGATAACCATGTTAGCTCGTGCTCCATTCTGCGTGTAAGTCTTTGAAAATGAGTACTTTGGCCAGTATGATTTAGAACCTTTTACTTCAATCTAAAACGAGTGAAAGGGCACATGCTTCGTAATTTGAACATAAAATTAAACTTGCAAAATAAATTCAATTACTAAAAATACGCAGATGATTATAGAAAATCTCGCGCGCTGATTGGTCAAGAAACTCACACTATCACACGATAATCACCTCGAGCAAAAATCCAAAATGGCGGACAGCCGCTTTGTTGCTGTTACCGGAAAAAATGCCTTTTATCTTCTTATTTTTCTTTTTTTGAAAGAATCACCTGTGTATTTATACTAAAACAATTATTTGCCTCAGGCTCAGTGACTATTGGGGAATATTTACCTCGCCGCTCGAAGACTCGCGTCTGGGTAAATATTCCCCGATAATCACTTCGCCTTCGGCGAATAATTGTTAAATACCATGATATTGTGAGGTTAAATTACTTTATACTTGAAGATCACCGAGTCGATGACAAAACATTGGATCTAATACTGAGCATTGTCAAGTTACTGGATTTTCCATTTTAACTGAGTATTTTTTCACAAGTCTCGATAGCTCATAACGTACCGTATATTCATCAACAACCAATGATATTGGCAGGGGCTTTTTCCATCTTACTTCAATAGAAGTCTTCGTTTGACTCTCAGCTTGTACATCAGTAGGCTTACCAGGCTCTGTAAGAAAAAGCAATCTCATCAGCTGTATCCTTCATCGGCGAACCTCTTAACCAAAGGCTCTTTCAGGCTAAAGAATATGGGAAGAGAGCTGTTGCAGTTGTTGCTCCTGAGTTATGGACAGACTACCTCCATCCCTTCGATCTTGCGGAACAATTTCTAGTTTTAAGTGTGGTCTCAAGACCTTTTTATTCACACGAGTTTTCAATATGTAAAAATCTCACCTATTTTAACCAATCTAAATCAATGTATTGTTATTAGCCTGCGTCACATCCGGAATTTTTACGAAGAAAATTCCGGGTGTGACGCAGGCTAATTGTTATTTGAATTTTTAAAAAAATGTGTAATGTATATATTGAAATGAAATGAA